GTGTATGAGAGGTGCGAAAGGCAGGCTGACCATGCGGTCGCCGTATGGTTGACATGCGGACAATGTAAGAATGCGAAGGGTAACTGTGTTCTGGTCCCCGGGGTTCTGGTCTGGCCGTATGATTGCTACAAATGGATATGCATGGATTTATTGCACTCGACAGAGTTATGTTTAAGTCTTTTGAACGGTGGCTCTACCTCGATGCATCTGTTAATAAATGATACTATAAGCTTTATTGGATGTGAATTCACCCTTTCAAATTCAAATTCCAAATAAATAAAGCACACAATTTAAGTGTGACAAAAAAGAGCAAAACTGAAAACCCGTTCACCTATAGTGCCCGACATTACGTTAATAAACAATTTCCACATGTTGAAATATATTGCTATTTGATTGAGTTCAAGACAAAACATTTTGGAATTGTTTCACATAATGTAATATTCTCGGATTTGATGCATACACATGTTTCACAATCAGAGACAAGGGTCTTATGCGGGGTCTTACATTTGGAAAACCAATTTATAAGTAGTATTAGATTATCACAAAAGATAAATAACTTTTAAAACTGCGGTTAGGTAGCATCTTGATTACAGTAAAGACAGGTCATCTAGGAATTATTTCTGCCTTTAATTCCTTAAACCGCTTCGTTGAACAGTGCCAAAATATTGGCCAGATCCTAAAACAAAACTATTTTTATTTTTAATCCCCTCACCTTGTCAATGTTTATGCCTGCATCTGGTTTTGCCCACCATTGGGAGGGAGCCGATATACACATAGATTACTTACTTGCCATGGACAGCGGGGGGGGGGGGCACAGAAACAAACAATCTGGGGTCATAAAAGATAATTGGGGAAGGGGGAGGTGGTGAATAGTGAAGTCCGGGAGCGAAGTTAAGGGGTACTGAAATCTTTCTTTTGATATTTAGTGCTTGAATGGAGACTCGTTTCCACTCCCCGCACTCTAGTAAAATTCAAATATTTGATCCAAAGGAGTTATTTTGTATCAAACTTGCATTCCGATTAATTAACACTCCCACGATTGTACCGCTTCACTATTGTCTAAGATAATTATAATGAATTCACGGGACACTATGGTCTTCCTTTTAAACTTTAGTGGTTGGATCAGAGACATAAAAACAATTATAAATATTTGATTTAGGGAGGTATTTGCAATCCAACTCTGATGATACAAGACTAGTCAGCCAAGACTAAATTATGAACTTATTTATCATTTAGACTATTGAGTTCATTAAATTATTATTCCATAGATATCGCATTTAATCCTGTCAACACAATCGTGGTATTAATTGGCATGATATTTAATCAGAGAGCCGGTTTAAAAAGTTGTTGATTAATGATTAAGTATTTATTAGGAAAAATCCTAATTCAAAGTTTTTGTTCTCTCGCAATAGCAAACCCCTCGCCGGGCAAGCATTCTTTAAAAACGTGAAGTTGAGCAGTTTTGAAAATTGTCCATTTTGAACCATCGCCTTGTATATTTTTATAACTTCCCTTAAATCACGATAACCGTGATTCCCGAAAGCTGAGATAACTATGGCACACAAATACTAGTAGCCGTTATGGAAAATAAAAACACCGAATTTTGAAATGGGTTAAAATGTCGCAGTCTTACGTTGTCTCCGTTAACAATGTAGCTTTAATATTAAGACATATTGATTTCAATTAATAAAGTGCCCACATTTTTTGGGATGGAGCGCATTGAAGCAATCCAATATTATAATAAAACCGCTAATAATCTAAATGGGCGCCCGTGTTTTTGCAAGCATGTTATAAATGCTAAAACTAAAATATATCTTTCAACTGCTGCACTAATCACTTCTGGTGACTTATTTTGAAAAATCATTTATATTAATTCATTACAACTTTCAAATGTCAAAACTTAATTTATCAATACCCGCTTTTATTAAAACACTCAATATGTCTATGTCAACAAGATAGTGTCAACACGTTGTGTCAACAACATGTAACTTATGTAAACAAATTATACGCAAGAGCAGAGAAATGCATCATCCAGTATAATATGTTTTTCCCAGTTGAACCAGATGGAATATAACAGCTGATAACAGCTGATAACAAATTAAAACAAATTATACAAGTATGAGAGGAGAAACTCCAAAAAAGGAAAAATCCTAATTCAAAGTTTTTGTTCTCTCGCAATAGCAAACCCCTCGCCGGGCAAGCATTCTTTAAAAACGTGAAGTTGAGCAGTTTTGAAAATTGTCCATTTTGAACCATCGCCTTGTATATTTTTATAACTTCCCTTAAATCACGATAACCGTGATTCCCGAAAGCTGAGATAACTATGGCACACAAATACTAGTAGCCGTTATGGAAAATAAAAACACCGAATTTTGAAATGGGTTAAAATGTCGCAGTCTTACGTTGTCTCCGTTAACAATGTAGCTTTAATATTAAGACATATTGATTTCAATTAATAAAGTGCCCACATTTTTTGGGATGGAGCGCATTGAAGCAATCCAATATTATAATAAAACCGCTAATAATCTAAATGGGCGCCCGTGTTTTTGCAAGCATGTTATAAATGTTAAAACTAAAATATATCTTTCAACTGCTGCACTAATCACTTCTGGTGACTTATTTTGAAAAATCATTTATATTAATTCATTACAACTTTCAAATGTCAAAACTTAATTTATCAATACCCGCTTTTATTAAAACACTCAATATGTCTATGTCAACAAGATAGTGTCAACACGTTGTGTCAACAACATGTAACCTAATGTAAACAAATTATACGCAAGAGCAGAGAAATGTATCATCCAGTATAATATGTTTTTCCCAGTTGAACCAGATGGAATATAACAGCTGATAACAGCTGATAACAAATTAAAACAAATTATACAAGTATGAGAGGAGAAACTCCAAAAAAGTCCGTATCATTCATTGTTATAATTATGTCTTATACATAAACCTATGATAACAGGTTAAAACGAATTAAAACAACTGATATGTATGTTTAATAGGTTTATGATACTGTATTAATCATGGGATTTTACATAGTGTATGTTCATTTGTTTTAGTTGTTTGTTATAGTATAGTATCCGGAAGAATATTTTTATTTGGAAATATTTCTCTTTTGTCCTGAGAATATTTTTTCTATTTTTGTGGATTTTGGCCCACATCAATGGATTTTGTAGTTGCAGTTTGTTTTGCCACTTATCTTCCATCTTCTTTGGCAGTTTCACAGCATTGTTCTTTTTTAGTAAAATCTTGTAAACTTCTTTATTGTTTGTCTTTTTTAACCATTCTGTGTTAATTGTGACATTCGGATTCTCGGTTTCTTCTTCATTTTCTCTTGGGTGTCTTAATTTTCTTTTCCAATTTTGGGGGATGGCTGTAATTATACTGTTATATTTCAAAGTATTCCTTTGGTTCATAACAATATCATATTTATGGCCTAATTCTGCTGCTGTGAGGAATCGATTTTCGTCCTGGATGTCTTTTATAAATTCAATACCTTTTTGTATCCATACTTCGTTTTTCATGATTTCTCCATTGATTTTTATCTGTTCATTGTGCCATAATGATTGTTGCTCTGGGTTTCTCGTATCCGGAATTGTTTGATATTTTAGACTGCACCAATTTTTGTAGACTGTCTTCAGGTACCTTAAGTCTAAAACATTTATTTTGTCACTATTTTTTGAAAGGTTCAAAGCCCATACTTCTCCCTGCGTCAGGTTCTTCAGGTAGTAGTTCCATATCTTCTTCCATTTGCCACTATATGTAGGGTCTATATATTTCTTTATCCATTTGATGCTTAGGTTTTTTACGTATGATTGTAAGTGGAGCATGTTTAGGCCACCTCTCTCTTGTTCGTTCATCATTATCTTTCTTCCAATTTTGTCATCCCATATAAAGTTGAAAAACATGTTTTCTATTTCTTTGATAAAGTCATCTGTTGGTGTGAGCACTGTACATAGATATGTCAGCTGAGATACGAGGAGTGATTTTATCATTATTATTTTTCCTAGAGGTGTGATGTTTCTACTTTTCCATGCTCTAATAAGTCCTTGAATTTTGTTTCTTTTCTCTGGGAAATTTAAACTGTTTATGTCTCTTCCATCTAAAGGAATGGTTATACTAAGGACTTTTATATCTTTATCTTGGTATTTTAGCCCTGATGCCATGCTTTCATCTCTTACTTGTTGCAGTAATAGTGCATTTTCTCTGCCTATCACGGCTTCTTCTGTTTTGTGGAGATTGATGTTCAGTCCTGAGATTTCTCCAAAATTTCTGAACTTTTTAATTACTTTTTTCGCGGATGCAATATTTCTTACAAAGACTGATGTATCATCGGCGTATTGTGAGATCTTTACTTCTCCATCTGGTATTTGTATGCCTTCAATTTCTTCATCTCTTCTGATTGATTCACTCAATATTTCGGCACATAGAATAAATAAATACGGACTTAGGGGGCATCCCTGTCGTACTCCTCTGTTCAGGTTAAAGTAGCGTGATGTATACCCGTTATTTATTACTGAGCTTTTTGCATCGTTGTATATGGTTTTGATCCATTTTCTAAAGTCTGGTCCAAAATTGAAGTAATCTAGCGTCCGATCAATAAATTTCCATTCCACTGTGTCAAAAGCTTTTTCAAAGTCGATGAAAAGCATTATGCCAGATTCATTGTTTGATTTAAGGTGTTCCATACAGTCTATTATGAGTCTAATATTTTCTGATATATTTCTCCCTTTAATAAAACCTGTTTGGTCTTCGTTAATTATTTTTGTTAAATGGGCTTTCATTCTTTCTGCTAGACATCCTGTAATTATTTTGTAGTCTTTGTTTAGCAGTGATATTGGTCGCCAATTTAATAGGCGTAGAATGTCACGGTTATTGTTTAACACTTATAACAAAGAGAGGACAACATGTAAGTACATTAACCCTTCTTGAAATTACCCATAACTTTTACATTTTGACCCAGACCTTAAGTCCCTAAATCATAAAATATACTATACCCATATAGTCTGGGGTCTGTTCAAATGCTTCCTTAATGGCCTCATCTGTACATCCAAGGAAATGTGCAGTCCCAGGGGTGAGGAACTGGGGTAGTATGGTCTTTGGCTTCTTGGCGGGGTTCCTCTCTATCTCCCCCATCCAGTTCATGAATGCATCCCCAAGCTTGATTGCCTAAACAATTTAAGAAAATATACTTTGGATGTCTCTTTCATTTATTCATGGCCAGGCCTTAAAAAGGTTCTTACTTTTAAACAAAACAAAATCAAATCTGATTTGTTATTTCCTGGCTGGGGATATTTGGGGGGATATTAACGCATATAACTAATCAGAATACTTTATTTTGTACTGAAGACCTTGGACTCAAAATACCCTGGCTGACACAAAAGTATGTAAACCACTCATAGCTTCAGTTATTTCAAGTTCAATACATTAGTACCTGCTCTGCCATCCATAAGTTGTGATTTATTTGAGCATATTATTGAAATCAAGTTTGTATTCCTTAATTCAGGTTAAATGTTCATTGATTTTATAGGATTCATTTTTTTAAGCCTGCAGCTTTTTGATGAAATTCATAGTCCTTTGTCATAACTGAATTTACATCAGGCCCATAGCCAGGATTTGCCAAAGGGGGGTTCACTTTTTGAATTTTGGCCCAAAAGTGGCTAAAATCACTTGTGAAGTGCTCAAAATGGTGAAAAACTGCATGGTTTTGAAAGAATTTTTGGCTGGGGGGGGGGGGGTTGCAGGGTTCGGGCAACCCCCCCCCTGGCTACGGGCCTGTCCATGCTGACCATCCTAGGCCCTCCTTACCTCTGCTTTAGACTGTGGAACACAGAACTCTGTGTCAATATTTGGAACATAAGGTGCCCACTGGTAGGAGCCAGTCTCTTTGGCAACCAGTCGTAGTGGCACAACAGGGAGACGATCCATTAGATCTGACTCAAAGAGCAGTTTAAAAGCACATTCTCCCATCATAAGCATGCCACTGTAGTCTCTGGAGCCAGTCACTAGCATACCTTGAAGAAAAACGCATTTCTATAATTCAAGTGATGATAGCAATTAGGACTAGCAAACAAATAATAAAAGAGCAGTTTAAAAGCACATTCTCCCATCATAAGCATGCCACTGTAGTCTCTGGAGCCAGTCACTAGCATACCTTGAAGAAAAACGCATTTCTATAATTCAAGTGATGATAGCAATTAGGACTAGCAAACAAATAATAAAAGAGCAGTTTAAAAGCACATTCTCCCATCATAAGCATGCCACTGTAGTCTCTGGAGCCAGTCACTAGCATACTTTGAAGAAAAACGCATTTCTATAATTCAAGTGATGATAGCAATTAGGAATAGCAAACAAATAATAAAAGAGCAGTTTAATAGCACATTCTCCCATCATAAGCATGCCACTGTAGTCTCTGGAGCCAGTCACTAGCATACCTTGAAGAAAAACTTATTTTCTATAATTCAAGTGATGATAGTGATTAGGACTAGCAAACAAATAATAAAAGAGCAGTTTAAAAGCACATTCTCCCATCATAAGCATGCCACTGTAGTCTCTGGAGCCAGTCACTAGCATACCTTGAAGAAAAACTTTTTTTCTATAATTCAAGTGATGATAGCGATTAGGAAGCAAACAAATAATAAAAGAGCAGTTTAAAAGCACATTCTCCCATCATAAGCATGCCACTGTAGTCTCTGGAGCCAGTCACTAGCATACCTTGAAGAAAAACTTTTTTTCTATAATTCAAGTGATGATAGCGATTAGGACTAGCAAACAAATAATAAAAGAGCAGTTTAAAAGCACATTCTCCCATCATAAGCATGCCACTGTAGTCTCTGGAGCCAGTCACTAGCATACCTTGAAGAAAAACTTTTTTCTATAATTCAAGTGATGATAGCGATTGGGAATAGCAAACAAATAATAAAAGAGCAGTTTAAAAGCACATTCTCCCATCATAAGCATGCCACTGTCGTCTCTGGAGCCAGTCACTAGCATACCTTGAAGAAAAACTTTTTTCTATAATTCAAGTGATTTTTTATTTTTATTTTTTATTTTTTATTTTTTTTTTATTTTATTTTTTTTTATTTCCTATTTTGTTACATTCATACATTGTTTATAATGATTACAAATAATGTAATGCATAAAATATAAACAAAAAGAGACGTAATGATACATTCATACAAAGTCAATTACATTTCTAATACACATTTGGTTATCCATTTTGATAGTATTACATCTTTTGTCATATTAAAAATTTGAGAATAATAAAACGCATTTTTGATAAATGCATTTGTTATGTCGAAAATTTTCCAGTTTTCTTTTTCTTCCGAATATTTACACCAGTTATTGTATATAGTCAATCCTGCAATTGTTAAAATTATGTTTCTATATTTAGTTATAGTGTTTCCGAATGGATAACCAATTACAATATGTTTATATTGAATATCACATTTTAACACTCTTTCAATTTTATTCCACAAGGGTTTAACCTTATGGCATTCAAATATCATGTGCTTAATATTGTGCAATTGATTACATATTAAGCAATTTTTTGAGACTTTGTTATTCCATTTTGATACAAGAGATCCACATGCCAATAAGTTGTTTAAGAGTTTAAAATTAAACTCTGAAAAATATGTATAGCTCATATTTATTAATTTTTGATCATATATATTTTTCCAAAGGTGTTGTTCTATAATATTAAAACAAGCATTCCAGTGAGTCTCTTGAATATTTCTTTCAAATTTAAGATTTCGCAGGATGTTGTAGAAAAAGTTTGCTTTTTTACCGTCTAATTCAACAAAGTGGTTTTCTAATAAAAATTTAGTTTTATCCCTTATATTGATAAAAGGTAAAATATTTTTATCAACATTTGAACAAACACTCATGATGGTTCTTTTGAGAATATACAACTCTATCATCCAGTTCTTTTTTCTTTGCAATGCTTGAATAAAAGTTTGGCTACTTTTAAAAGAGCCATTTGGATTAAAGAAATCTCCTACGTATACAAAACCAGACTGAATCCAGTTTTTATAAAATAAAACACTTCTTCCATTTAAAAATCGTTTGTTCAACCATAATTCAAGTGATGATAGCGATTAGGAATAGCAAACAAATAATAAACAAACAAACAAATCTTTATAGACTGTACAATGTGAACAAGCATATAATTATTGCTCCTTTCAATGGAAAACTTTTTTGAATTTCTTTTTTTTAACACAATTTAAAAACAAATCAGTATTTTTCACAAACGAAACTTCATAAAAATCACAATTGGTGATGCTAACCTATATTTCTCATTAAGTGCTATAGTACTTGAGAAGTAAACAACACCATAAAAGACCTTGCAAACTTACCATGCGATGTGCTGACTTGCACAATATGACCACCATTCACCTTCAGTTTGGCAATTTCTTCTAGCATAGTTAGCAGGGATGCGTTGTATTTTGGTAGGACTCCTTGGAATACGCTCCCGTTGCACTCCGCAGTAAACAGTTCTTTGTTCTCAGCAGTAGCAGATTTACGGAAATTCTCAATCGCTCGTCTAAAACATTCTGCATGAAGCAAAACAACTGAGTTATTTAATAAAAGCCATATGAGCTGTTCAGGCCATATACATGAGGTGAGTAGTAGGCCGCTATTAAAATACATTTACAAGCTGCTCCAACTCAATGTATAATTGGCGCGCATGTTAAATGTCTGTTGAGCTTTTTTATGAAATAAACTACAAGATGGTCAATTTTTATTCTAAAATTGCAAAGCATTAATTAGAATAAAATAAACACATTGACAAAAAATTATTTGCTAACAGTGGAGAGTTGTGAAACTTATTTTACAAAAACAACCCAGGGAATGTTGCATGTTACATGTAAGGGACAAAAAGAGATTGTCTACAAAAAGTGCATATCAGAAAATCAACACATATACAGGGTGTTCATAATTTAGTCTGTACACTTTATGCAGACTTTGTATTAGAATTGTATTAAAGATACTTTATGGACACCCTGCAAAAATACAAGTTGCATGTCAAATTACGAACCTTTTCTCGAGACACCAAGCATTTCAAGCTGAAGGAGTCCATCTTTCTCATACTGGATATTGGTCATACCATCCTCTGCGTTTCTTCCAAGGGTATAGACTAGATGCTCAATGCCATCTATTGGCATATTCACAGGCTGAAAGGTGTCGCCACCAGGTACAGACTGAACCTCTGATTCTGAAATATACAATTATTAAAATAACAGATATTGATGTAGATTTAAAAGCTTTCACTTTAAGTAGCATGAAATCCAATTGACAGGCTGAAAGATTAAAAAGGTATTTCTCTGCAAAATGTCACCACCAACCATTTGTCACAGACACTGACTGCCAAACACCAACAGCCAAACATTGAACATCAACTCTCAAACACCAACCAAAGTCACAAAAATATGTCAAAATAGTGACAATAAAATACAAGGCGTGCAAAATTTCACGACCTGTCATTTGTTACAGAAACCAACTGCCATATGCCGAACACCAGCTTCCAAACACCATTCACAAAAATGTTGGAAACTATAACAATGGCACCACTTGTCATGATCATATACAAACAGAAATCATAATCTCTCCAGGCCTACTTACTGACATTCTCAAACCACAGCTTTTCTTGTACCAAAGGGACCAACTGATCAAGTTTACTCTCAATCTCTGCATTTGTTGTCTGAGCACCAGTTTTTAAAACCTCTAAAACATCATCCAAGGCTTTCTGAGTATTATCCTTTGTGTCATGTTTCAATTTGTTATAAAATGGCTCTAAATCAAATGTTCTTGTCTGAGCTATGATTGGGTCCTTCACATTATCAGATTCATTTGATTGTTCAGGTGAGCCATTTATACTGCCATTGGGTTTTTCAGATTTTTCTTCTATTTGGAACACTAGAGTCATGGATTTCTTGTTGATGACTGGGTCTGTATTGAAGAGAGGCTTCAAAGCAGCTGCACATTTGTCCATAAAATCATGCAATGGCATTGGAGGGTCATGATTAACTGTCTTAAAATTGCATTTAGTCAAGAAATCTCTGAAAAAGAAGAGACAATAGCAATAATTAAGAGTAAAAGAGCTAAATCAATACATGTAGAAACAATTACGTAATAGCACATTTTATGATCAACAGTACACACCAGAGAAAACAAAGAACTTCTATTTTCATTGTCATGTCTATGCACTGATACATCCAATTACTAAGGGTGTCAAGTGCACATGCTTTGTACATTCCATTGTGATATTATCATGAAAATAAATAAATAAAAAAAAAGTTGTTTGCCAGAACTTTTTGGTACTACTGATCTGACGAATACTGATTATGATAATGTCTCTTGGAAACACACCTTTGTGTAAAAATGAGTATTGTAAATAAGGATGACAACAAAATTAGGATCAGCGACCCTTAAACTTACTGCATGCCTTTTTGTTCCTTTTCTACTTTGTCCCATTCAATCGGCTCGGGATCAGGTCTTGGTACGCCATCTTTAAGTTTCCAAACAGGCATCTCAACGTAACCAGACCTAAACTTACGTCCTGTGTCTTCAAAGAAACCAGTCTCCCAGACTGCTTTCACAATATCTTCATTTTCTCCATAATTCTTAATTGCCATATATCCATGTGGCAAATCAAGTGGCACATTTTTAGAAACTTGACAGAAAACAGGACTCCATAAGCCCTCTGCCTCTTCAGGCCATGGCAGATCTGGATCTGGTCTAAGAAGCAAACATGTTGGTTTTGTCTTTACTTGTTGTGAAGCATTGGAGCCAGGATAGGCCCATACTTTAAGGACAAGTGGAAGATCTTTCCATACAAAGCGTGTAAGCTCAACTTCCTTCGCTGTGTTGTAGTCTGTATCAAGTAACACATCCATTCTTCTAATACACTTGCTGCTAGTCCCTAAAAGTAATGATGAAATTGAAATCTTTTGGAGTTTTATATGAGTATTTAAAGAATGGGGATTTATTCATAGACTAGAGGTTTTAAACGGAATGTTATACAAACCCTTCGACCTGCACCTTCGACCTTCAGCTTCGACCTACAGGGTATCCAAAAAGCGGGCCAAAAAGAAAGTTATAAAAACCCTTCGACCTGCACCTTTGACTTTTCTTATGAAAATTGTCAAAGTCCAAAAATATTTCTTTGAAAAACGACTAAGTCCAACTTCACATAGATTATGAAATTGAACAGAGCACTGTCCTTGTCGAAAGCTATAGCTGTCATCTCTTGAGTTTACATCGGCGAAATACTTTATATGCCCGGTGACGTCATCACTTTTCGGACAAGATTTGAAAGTTAAATAACAAGTTATTGACGCCATATCCCGTTTTAATATTGATCACACAACAAGACTATGATTTGAACTCAATAAATAGAACAGTAATTGATCACTACTTACTCTAATCTTACTTCGATTCAATCGAATCAAAACCAGGAAGTAAGTTCTAAAAAGGGAAACTTCCATTTAAACTACCCGATTGACTACCCGATCAACATCAACAGAATCTTAATTTGATAACATGAAAACGCTATTTCACCCCTGTAACTATACCTATAGTTCTGCAAATGTTGCTACAATTTAAGATCTTAACGATCTCACCTGTGAACCACAAATCAAGTGACTCTTGCGTGGTCTGAGATCGGCAAAAATAGCTTCTATAATATTTTCTTTTTGGACACCCTGTAAGTCGAAGGTGAAGGTCGAAGGTGCAGGTCGAAGGTCGAAGGGTTTTTATAACATTCCGTTTTAAACAAATATTGTTGATCTAGCAGCATTGTAATGGAGGAGAAGATTGCCTCGCCTGAATATACCAATGGTAATGTAACAACCCTTGGGCATGTAGTGTAACAAGCCAGATACTGAAACGGAAAGTGCTCAATGCCCCGTACGGGAATTGAACCCAGGACCCTTTCCTCCAAGTCATACACTCTACCACTGAGCCATAAGGGCAATCCACTACAGCAGATACTGTAGTAGCGACTTGCTATCGAGGGTCACTACAGTTAGTTTTAAATGGAAGCGGCATACAGCATATAACACAATAACAATGTCAACATGCATGTAAATCTTTACTCAAAATGTCAGTGTTTCCTGAATGACACAATTCTAGCATGGCAAAATAACATTATATTTTTGACATACTATGATATCAACGAAAAAATACTTGGATAAACTTCAGGGGTGGATCCAGGATTTTGTGTTAGGTTTTTTTGAGAGTGAAGAGAACCTTGTGAGTGAGCACAGCAAACGAGCGCAAGTATACTAGGGGGTCTGGAAAATGTTGAAAAATAAAATCATTTGGTGCATTCTGACCAATTTCAGAGCGTAGGTACCAATTCCCAGGTCGGATTTCAGCATATGCAATGTGTTATTGACAAGTGCGCCCCCATCTAGATCCGGTAGTGAAATTCAGTTCATTATACATCTAGCAATGACATAGTTATTACAGTTCGGGACATAAATAAATGACAGGTGGATTTGCTGAAGTGAGAATTTCCCATGTTAAAAATAAGAGAATTTTCAAGAGGCCATACATTTATCCCGTACCCGGACTATAGTCCTGCACTGATCGCATTCATTTGCCTGTACGATTACAACTTGGGAGAATTATCTACGCCCCTTACACTTAAGATACCTACCTCAATGCATTATAGAACTCAAGATGTAACTTCTAATATATTGGAACCGCCGATTGTCTGGGTATATCGGCAGAACGGGAACATTTTCTCTTTTTCATCGAGAGAGATTCCATCACTTTTCAAAATGGCGGTTAGATTTAAAAGGGGAATCCCCCGTTTGGCTGTCCCGGATGTAGCCCGGAAGTACCAATATGGAGGAATTCGACGGTTGAAATAAGTTAAATGTTACACGCAAATATTGCGATCAAAAACGAAAATGTCTTCGTTCTGCCGATAAACCCAGACAATTGTGGATTCAACTACACGAAAAGAATGCTAAATTACCAAGGAATCTATTGAAGTAGGTATCTGAAGTGTAAGATCAGTAAAAAATTCTCCCATGTTGTAATCGCACAGGCAAAAGATTGAGATGTTCACAGGACCATAGTCCGGGAACGGGATAACCATACATCAGTGGATGAGATTATACAAAATGTGAAATATACAAATTTTAAGGGATATGTATCTAGACAATATTGGAAATTATGGACTTTCAGACTACCATAATTAGGAAATGGTGATCGAAAATCGACCTGTCATTTATTTTTGTCCCCAACTTTACAAAAGACACAATACTGTATGAATTATTTACTCCAAGTTTGGTCAAGAATGAAAAAATTGGATGTGTCTTATATTTTAAGAAACTTTGTTGAGCTACTGAGTAGTGTTGTCGCGATGTGCCATAATCGTACATCGATGCATCGGCAATTTTCAGTAGTAAACATCGATGCACATCGCGATGTACATCGAGAAAAAGTCCGAGAAAAGTGCACTGAAATACCGAACGCTAATGCACTAAAATACCGAACATCCGGTACATCCGGGAACTTCTAGAAAGGTGAAATGAAAGTAAAGTAATTTTTTTACGGATTAATGGTTCATTTCGAATAGCTAAAACAGTTTTAAAGCGAAAGAATATCAGAAAACATTGGAAAATGAAATAAGACATGAGAAAGGTAAGCGATTTGCGTCAAAATAAGATAAGAAAGGGTGATTTTTAGCAAATTAATTTTTTTCAAAAACATCGATGTTTTGTTTCAGACATCGATGCATCGCCAGAATCAGCTTTGGCGATGTATATCGCGATGTATCGATTAATCGCGACAACACTACTACTGAGTACTGATACTGCTAAAGAAACTGTTCAAAATCTTGACGACAAAGCCATCAATGATCAAATTAATGGATTGCCGGTGTCAAATTCTTACCAATGTGAATTGCAGAAAATCCTGTAATTTATCACGATTGACTGTTGTCTGGCAGTTTCAGACAAAGAATATAACAACTGGCGTACTTTTATTGATAGTTTAAAGCTTTGAAACACGATAATAGGATTAGTAATAACGAAAATGTTTCCCCGGTTGATTTCAAATTTTCACTTCCGCATTTTTGGATTTTCACATTCCAATTACTGATATTATTGTTTCATAGAATTAGGAAATACTAACTATATTTGAGTATCATTCTGATTCAAATCGATTCAATAATCGATTTTGATACATAATATCTCTGACTTTGTATTATTATGAGGAGTGGAGAATTTAAAAATGTTTACTATTTTTTTGGACTGTGTACAGTCCTAACTAATCTCGTCAATTCTCGCGAGACTAAAGGTCCTTCGCCATTTTGTCAGAAGTACTTCCTACTGGAAATATTCCTTGAAAACAGTGAATTCTAACGTCGTTCCGTTTGTAAAGATAAACAGTATATAAAGATTTGGTAAGTCACATCAATATACTTTACACTTGCATGATATTGTCTATGTATGAAGAGGAATGTATGGTGAATTATGCATTTGAAAATGGGGGTGTGACGTTTCAATTTTTGCAAGAAAATTTTGAGTTTCAAAATAATTTCAACTTTCCCATTCGAATAATTTTATGTACCTGGAATATTTTTATGTTGTGAAAACAAGATGAAATAGCATTTTACTTAGTGGTTATCGCACCTGTTTCACTGAATAAACAACAAGTGTTGTTGTTGCAGGTCACCCGGCTATTGTGGGCACAATAGGTTGTTCTAGGCTGTCCTGCAACATGAAAAAGTGGGAAATAAATCCTTCTTTAGTAAATGATCAAACTCACTGGATATGTCAAATGAATCATGTTACTTTTTTTCTTGCCGTCCGAGCCTCGTGAATAGAGGCTATAGATCTAGCAGATGGTGTAGCGTCATATAGCATAAAATGCCATGGCGTACTCTCAAAATTTAATAGAAAGTGGATCTTTTATATTGTATTGCCTAGTATGTATCCAACAGACTGACTAGAAGTCAGTCTGTTATGATGTACTACTGTCCTGGGGAAATTGCAGCGGAATTTTTATGCACAAAATTATCAATTAGTGGAACCATTTCTTCAATAAAATAAACATTAAAAAAATTCAATTAAGGTGCTATGGAACTTAACAGGAAATGACAAAACAGGAAGTGACAATTTTTTTGCATTTTTAGACATCTTTTGAACAAAGATAACAGAGTTCTGTTTTGACCTCCAGTCAATTCAACTAGTTCCAAATACCATTTACAGGTCCAGGATCACAATGTTCATGGTCAGAATGACCCTAAACATGATGAAATAACGTTTTCAGCCCTATGAAAATGTGACTGAAAAATAGCTAAAAGTAGGAGGGTAGGAAAGGTCACTGAACAAAATCTTTTGAATTTTTCAGAAAATGTGCCCAATATATTGCTCTAAATGATACAATCTTTGAAAATTTGATATCTTTAAAAAGCGATTTATTTTCCTTTTTATGACTGTCATTTTTGTTTAAGACAATTTTCTAAAATTTCAAAGATTGTATCAGTTGGAGCATTATATTGGGTACATTTTCTGAAAAATTCAAAAGATTCTGTTCAGTGACCTTCCCTAGCTCCTACTTTTAGCTTTTTTTTCAGTCACACTTTCAAAGGGCTAAAAAGGTTATTTTATCATGTTTAGGGTCATTCTGACCCTGCACATTGTGATCCTGGACCTGTAAATGGTATTTGGAACTCGTTGAATCGACTGGAGGTCAAAACACAACTCTGTTATCTCTGTTCAAAAAATGTCTAAAAATGCAAAAAAATTTGTCACTTCCTGTTTTGTCATTTCCTGTTAACTTCCATAGCACCTTAAGTAGTAAGGTACAATTATATGCAATAAAAAGTAACACACCATATTGTCAAGTGGAAATAAAGCTAGTTGAAGTAACAAATCTGCAAATTACCCAATCGGCCATTTTGAATGTAGCACTTCCTATGTAAACAAATATTTTGATTTACCAAACTTTGTCGTCTGTAACAGTATTATGCACACAAATGGCTCTAATGATAGCGGTAAGGGAATTATTCAATATTAACCCTATTATCACTTCTTCGAATAAATTGTATTTTTTCGTGATTTTTGTTTTTCAAGTTGCCAGTCTTTTTTGGAAAAGTCGGGTTTGCGTTTATTGGAGTGTGTGCAATGCATCTATTAGAGATAATATGTTGTGACTCAATTTAGGTATGCAGCAAAATTCCGAACATGCAGACTTACCTTAAGATGAAAATGTAAGAATATATTTATCACATCTGAGAGACATAGGGAACGCCTCTATGAGTCCGTCCGGGCAATAACTTAATAAAGCTAGAACTGTAGATATTAAAGAAGCACATGGCAGCCATCTTGAAAAATGGCAGCCTTTACTTGTTATTTTACGATTTTTGCTGTAACTCGAAAAGTAGTGGAGAGATTTTGTTCATATTATTTGGTACGTGGATACTAAAAGCATGGCCACCATTTTAACGTATTATTACTATAACTCGAAAAGTAGTAGAGCGATTTTGTTCATATTTGGTATGTGAATACTAAAGCAGGGCACACTGTCTAATGACACTTTTGGTAGAAGGTGGCTATTTTGAAAATGGCTGCCATTCTTGCTATATACTTTGTTTGTAAAAATGCCAGCCATGGCTGTTCGATGGAATTTGCTACGCTTTGGCATTGCTGTGGTCTAGTTTCTAAAATATATGAAGGTGACACTGGAATCATATGGTCCAGTTTGGGCCATAAATAATAAGTCGTGTATTTGCTGAAGTGAGGATATCCCATGTTGAAATTAGTGGATAAGAGTATACAAAATGTATAATATTCAAATTTTAGGGGATATATATCAAGACAATATTGGAAACTATGGGCTCATAAACCATCATAGTTAATGGTGATAGAAAATCGGCTCTTCATTTATTTATGTTTTAAATTGTAACTCTGCAGTCTGCACTATATTGTAATGAGTGTGACTAGTCAAATAAGAGTTTTTTGGCATCCTGAATGTAAAAACGAGTTTAGATTATTCAAGTTTGATTATAGAATCAGAAGGATCAGTCTTCTATACTGAGTTTCTGATTGCATATAGATCATTTAAAAGTAACAGTACTCTACATTTTGTTTATATGGGTTTCCAAACCATTCTGAAGTTTGGGCCTCTTGAACCTTAGTCCAGCTAATCATTAAATTTTAATAATTTTCAACCACATTTATTTATATGTACATACAAACGGGACTAACATATTTTGTTTTATTAACTATAAATATAGGTGTGTTCTGTATGACTAGAAATATTCAGCTTGAGTGGGACTTACATTGTGTATTGTGCAATTTTTAGTTAGATTGCTGCCACATTTTTGGGTGGTCAGTTTCAGTGTTAAAAATAGAACCTTAATGACAAACCGATCATTTGGGACTTTGGGTTTCTACATGGAAATATCTATCAGATATAATATCGATAAAAATCTATTTGCAATGTAAAAAGCTTACATATTTGTTTTTGTACATCATATTTTATTTGGCAGTTTTTTGTTCTAAGCATTAACTCACTCAATAGACCAAAACATGGTCATTAATATAAATCTGAAAATTTTCATTGGTCCATTGATTAAACCAAATTCTCCCATCCTTAAAACCATGTTTTTGCGTATTGTCGTGATGATAAAGTTTATCCTAATATCAAGTTACAACCCTCAAAATTGATACAAGTCGAACATATAAAAACGTGAAATCAAGCCCATGTTATATTTGTGAAAACTTGCTTCTTGTTTCATTATATCGAAGCATCAGGCCTCGGCTTCCGGGAATGAAGTTGGTAATGGAAAGATAAAATATTTAGTGAGAACGCTTTGCAGTTTGTCATAAGATTAAATTTTTAAAATAAAGCTAAAATGATATGTTCAAAATCTGACCCTGAATCGGACCCTGAATATTTCAAAATCTGGATGTAAAAAATCTGTACCTGTCATATGAGCTCTTCAATGTGGGAAGTAAGAATATTGTTGTCATTCAGAACTATAGAAGGTGAAATCTGTCACCTAAGAGAAGTTCAGAAAAGTTTTCTAGATTAATCAATTATAGGAAGTAAGAATAAGTAACTAATGAATGGAAAGATCAACTCTGTTTTCAATCTTCAATATAGTGGAATTTCGTTGTTCTTCAGGCTTCAGCTAAAAAGCTAATAAAATATAGACATATGTATAATGTATAGAATTATCACAATTGAAAAATTTGATGCAAATACATGTATACAAAAAAAGCTGAATGAAAAGGTGAAGTTCAAGTTTCATATATGTTAGCTTTTACGATTTTACAAGTTTCACTTCCTTGTTGTTGGTACAAGTTGTATTTGATACCCTAGATTTATGTTACGTCAAATTGTTTCTAGTCACGACTCCAATTATATATGTTATCAAAGTAATTTCCCTTACATCTCTTTATATATTCATATTATCTCATTTTCACTGATTTATATGTCCCTTGTCTCAGTTAGGAAAGCTGGAATCACTTATTTTAACAATTGTACTAAAAATGATTTATGTACAACTTGTGTATCCATTTTTATAATGGTTTTAGAAAATTTGGAGAAGTATCTGAAAGGTATGTTATCAAATTAACAAGAAACAATTAACTTGAGTCCAAGGAGGTCTGTATATAAACATAACAATAGATTACACAGAACATTGTCAATTAAGTATTTTTTTAATTAGAGAATTCGGGGTCATTCATCATCCAAAGCTCAGCTTTTTTCAATTTTTCATACTTTTATTTATTTCTTCAGGAGAAAATGCAAGAGATTTCACTGTAATTTATTATCATGTAAGGTCTACATTACAAGTTTTTACATAAGACAGTCCTGAAGTAAATTTAACAGTTCGGCATCTTCATAATGATTATTAACCAGTGCAACTGTCGATCTCCATAGCATTAAAGCAAGGTACCCACCTGAAAAGCTACGTGTACCTATTGCAACGATTTTGACCACTTTTGCTCTGAATAAAAAAAAAAAAATTGGAGCTGAGGAAACGTTATTTTTCTTGATCGTATATTTAAATGCAATCATTATGAATATGAACAGTTGAAAGTTACAGCCAAAGGGCATTTTAGTTGAAACAAAAATCATATAATCTGATATTACAAGGATAATAGATATGAATTTGTTAACAAACCTATCGATATTATCAAATATAACTGAGTATAGAAATGCAGAACTGACCGAGTCTTTGCTTACTTGAAAATAAGTGTGATATTATCTAGATAAAAAGCACAGATCATATTCATATTTTTGAATCTTAACATTCTGGCTTGGCAAGATATGCAGTAATTATTTGTCCCTGGGTAGTTCATGGCAATTTATCAGAGGGCGTCCTACCAATATAGACTGATAATATTAGGTAATGAGTATGTATACTGTACAGTTATGTTATTTAAACAATAGAAGAGGGGTTTGAGGTGACCATTTTACGTTTAATGTTGCCTTGGTTTCACTCAAATAATTTCTGTATCCCAGGAATGTGAAAAAATTGGAAACTTATATAAAACTTTTAGAAGTGTCTGTTTCCTGTATAGTTGGTTTACATTTTTTTTCTTTTTTAACTGTGTTTCAAAAGGGTTTGGGAAAACTCAGATGAGAGACAGTAAATGCAAAATTTTTTCAAGGATAGGCATAATGTTTACTCAGAGTTAATTGCAGACAGACTATTTCCTTACAGTTTACTGTTAATGCTTGTAAATTGAACATAATTTTTGGTGCTAAGAGCTTCCCATCTTCACATGTTTTTTGCGATTTCTCTGAAAAATTTGAATAAAATGTTCAGTTTCCGTCATTTTCCACAATTTGAAGTGTTAACAAGTACGTGTCTGTATTTTCATTCCTTGCCGATTCTCCTCTTTTCATGCCCTTTTTCATTTAAAACAAGACTAGCTATCATTGAGTTTTTTCTAATAGATAGTCTTTATCTATCTTCCTTCTGTTTCTGGTACAATATATATCCATGGCAGTTATCTACAGAAACATTTCAGGCCAATGTATTACAGTTTTAAGTTTCACAATTTTCTGATGCTATCTCATTCATTTAACCCTTTACCACCCGGCTCATTTTTGCCGTTATACTACCCTTACCACCCAGCCGATTTGCTCAAAATGCAACTTTTGGGAGCACTTTTGTAACAATTTTTAACTGTCTTGTAAATGGTCTTAATCAATGATGCGTGGTATTATACATTCATTTGGTACAATGTTAAACTGTTCCCTTAGATTTTTTTATAAATATTCTAATGAGCGTTGTCATAGCAACCAATAAAACATGCCTAATAAAACCCTTGATTTTAAGCGGATTTTGGGATTAATTCACACATATTGAAAATCAAAAATTAAGAATTGCTATAGTCATTGTGACAAAAAAGTTACATTTGCCTTAATACATTATTTTCTTTCTTAATTCTATCATTTGACTGCATTGTACTGCAATATAATAGGCTGTTCAATCTAATGTACTCACCAAAACTTATTCTAAAGTGAGAAACATTATGTATGAATTTGAAAATACAGTAAGATGTTTATTTGTCAATAATAATAACAATAACATATAAAAACAAAACAAATTAGTGTATTGTAGATATAACAACTCACTGGGCGTGTATTAGCCAACTCAATAATTTTTTATTCCTCGCTATATATTTATGTTTCAGAATACCATACATTCATGAAGAAATATAGTATGACATTACAAACACAAAATAAAACTATAGTGTGCTTGAAGTATTATACCACTTACACTGTACAATAACTTTTGATTCTTCACAAACCCTTATTGAAAGCCCATGTTATTATACACCATAATATTTGTAACAAGTTTGATATTAGAAACACATAAAACAAAACTACAATGAGTCTGTAATATCATACATGTTCCACTTAGCTAAGTCATTGTTCTTCATTCTTTAATGCATATTGTAACTTTTGATAATGTGTGACAATACTATTAATTAATAATAAACCATAGAGTATGATATTACAAACACAAAATAAATGTTTGTGATATCAGACCATTAGGTTATAGTCATTACTCACAAAATAGCTTTTCATTCTAATTAATATTGTAACATATGGTACTGTGCCCAGTTCTATGAATTCATAACTATAGACATGATAGAGTATAATATTGCAAATACAAAATGAAATTATAGTGTTTTTGTTATATCATACTACATGTACTTAGTTTATAGCCATAACTGACAAAATAACTTCCATTCCTCACTAATATTTTAACTATTCATTATTTTGCGATTGTATATTTGTATACATGATATTACATATTACAAACACAGGGTGAAACTTTATTCATGTTAGTGTGCTTGTAATATCATATCACTTAGCTTACAGTCATTACTGTAAATTTAACCGTGTTCTTAATATCATACCACTTAGCTTATGGTCATTACTGACATAATAGTTTTTCATTCCTCATTAATGCTGTAACTTTTGATAATGCACAACAATACTATTTCATGTAATTCATAAACTATAGAATATGATATTGACTATTTGACTGTATGATATTACAAACACATGACAAAACTTTAGTGTGTTTGTAATATCATACCACTTAGCTTATAGTCATTACTGACACAATTACTTTTCGTTCCTCATTAAAATTGTAACTTTTGGCAATTTTGCAGTTGTAAAATGATAAGTGTGATATTTCAAACACAAAATAAAACTATAGCAGTAATGGACTAGAATGTTTGTAATATCATACCACTTATATTTAATATAACAATTACTGAAACGATATAGTTTTAGTGTGTTTGAATATTACAAACACAAATTACAAAGGAACATAATGAGTCTACAGCATCATACTCCTTAGCTTAGTTTCAACATCTTTATACACTGTTCATTCTTTGACCACATATTGGAATTTAATCTATTTTGCAATGTTATGCAATGTTATTACATAATCAGTATTCTATTATGTAAAATGTTGAGTGTTACATTTCAACTAACACATCCTGACTAACTCAGTCCATATTTCATGTGCTATGATGGATGTATGATGACCTAAATACACATGCCAGTATTACAGACTAATGCAGAGATTGCGCTATGTAGGGAATATAGTCAGATAGTATGATAAATGAGAATTCTACAGACCTTTGCATTTCATTTCATCAAACCATGCCTTTAACTCACTCTCCATACGAATGAGGCACTGTATTTTAGTTTGGAGGCTTACTCAATTTGACAAATTAATTGCACTATTCTTGCCTTACCAATTGACCTGACGAAGTTTCTTTCATTCATTGACTTAAATTGACTTATTGGTACATGTGCAGTCTCTTATTTTCAGCCTAGTTTTCACAAATCCTCTTTAACTTTCTCTTATTTGGCTTGCCTGCCTTTGATGGATCATCATATTCATAGTTGACCATATTGTGATACCTGAAACATAAAGAGCCTGAGATACATATAAATATTGAACAGTGTGACAACAGACATGACAGATGGATGAAATAAATGTTCATATAATTTTTATGATGTCAACACCAAGAAGTGATGACATATTGTTTTTTAATCATGTTTTTTTCATTTACAATTTTACATTTTAATATGTTCTACCTAAAAAACTGTAAAATTGACACTAAAATGGCGGCCATTTTGAAACTGGTGGCTATTTTGAAAATTTACTTTTGAGCAAAAGTTTCAAATGGGGCATTTCAAATTGCAGGTTAATTGGTTCATAAAAATATGTTGAGAGAAATTATATATTTTTATCAATGAGTAAAAGTGAAAACATTTACCATAAAAACATACCTGAAAAAGCAAGGATCTTGACACATCCTGACTTTACACACCCTGCAAGAATACTTTGTGTCACACTTCTGTTTGTGTACAGTGCACCATGATGCTGTACTTTGCAGCTGTGGGGCATGAGCCATCTCCCTTTCATGTCTAATATCAGGATTCAGAATGACGCGTTTGTGATTGTTCATCATCATGCCATTGATGAGTCCAGTGGTTACTTCCAAGTGGAATTTCCTCTGTGGCATTGAGGCTACCGTGTGAAGCTTTGATAAAATAAGAAAATCATGTGAAGACATTTTGAATCAGGTGAAGTCACACTTTTTTTTTTACTTTGGTGTACATTCTAAATGAGGTAACATTGTTATTCTACAAAATGTTTAGTACATACAATTGAATCAGTTACCATAATGCATGTTGAAAGGAATGAATTGCCCTAGTAAAAAGAGATCTAATATACCACTAATACATCATCAATAGATCACCAATACACCATTAAAATAAGAATTAGTCAAGTCTTGTGTAAGCCATGTATTAAAGCTGGCAATATTCAGCTAATAGATCACTGTAGGATAGAAGTAGGGGTTTCAGGTTGAATGAGGTGTAAGTTGTATAAGTTCTCTATAACAAAACAGCTACTTTTTTATCTACATTTCAGCTCAGTGGCATTTCCAGAAGCTCAAGGGGATGCAGAAAAGTTTTGGGGCCCCTAAAACAAAAAATTGGGCCCAAATTTTTAAAATGTAAGGCCCATTTTTGAAAAAGCCTAAAAAGGCCTAAAATGCCATATCATGCCAAAAAGGTCCATTTTTGAGGCCTTACACAATTGCTGATTCCAAAATATTCTGGGATCCTGGATCCGCCACTGTAGCTCTACCTTTAATATTGTTAATATTTATTACCTCAGCATGAATGATGTGTGCATTTACAAGAGACACCCTCATCAAATGGAAAAACACTTGTCGATACCATGTCCTATTTTGAAGTAACAACACGCTGGTTCGCTACATCTACTCCTCTCATAAACTTGGTGTAGAGTTGCACAAGCTCAGGTTTACTAACTTCTCCCTCGACCCACCTTCTTCTTCTCCTAGGATAAAAATGTAAACAGTAGAAAAATAAACACCAAAAAGACTTAAAGGCAGAATCAGATATGTGAGGGTAACAAAATTACAAGCAAAATGTACAATTAACCTACCAATCTATTCCTTACAATCTCAAATACAATATCTTCCAAATGATTCACAATATGTTATAAATTGGTGAAGTTATAATGGATTCAAAGTGCAAAAATGTGTGAAAAATGATTAAATTCTCCTAAATAATAAAAATGATAACCATTCTTATAGAAAAACATAATACATGATTGTAAAAATCTTTAGTTTTCCTGCGAACAAGTGTAATGCACACTTCGGGGATTTTTAGAAAATAGATGTGAAACGGAAGGACATAAACCAGAAATATTCTAAAATTGAAATAATTTTTTGTTAGGCTGCTTGCTAGATCTGATCCTCTCTTTAACGAAGATGAATGGTAGCATACTGTAATCAAATTTAATTTAATTCAAATTTAGGATGCTTACATATATCAAACCAGAAATGAAATATGTGCTGTAGTATACATTTATTCAGTGCAGGGCTTACATGGCTTATGTGCAGTTATTTTTTATATTGCCTACCTTGTGAATGATGGCACCATGTTACATCGCTTAGTAACCTTTGATGTCAGTATAGATATATTAAGCTCGTCTTTCCATGTCAGGACATAGACTGTAAGACCACGTGCGCACCTTGTAAAATTTGTCATTACTATCATCAACAGCATTGGGGTGGGAGAAATGAATTTGTCCATATATGGCCATAAAGAGGTTTTTCGACATAACCTCAGATATACCTGGAGTGGAAACCAATCTATTTTCTTCCCAATAATCGGAGATGCTGCCTTTCTTTTCTAATACATCCATGGCAAATAGTATACCAATGAAGGCTGACAATGTGTCACGATCCAGAGGTTACCAGCTGTTGTCCATGCAAGTTTGTACAAAGTACAATATAAGTCAACAATGAGTCAGTAAAAAAAAATAGTTTGTAAAGTTCCACGGGTTGTAAAAGTTCTCCATTTGTAATGTTCTTTGGTCAAGATGGACCTCCTGTAAATGGATATTCTTCACCAATCATCAAAATCTTCCCACTCTTCATCGTCTTCAGATGAACAAGTTAATTGACTGTCATTTATTGAGGAGGAAAATTGACTGTTTTGACTAGATAATGTAAATTCATTGATTTTATCACACTTGATCTGGCTCTATTGCACATAATTGTAAAAATATCCTAAAGTGAAAATATTTCGTCTTCCAAAATTTAAAACCGGAAATCAACACAAACACAGTCCAAAATGATTCCCGTTCAACAGCATAAATATAGGTGTACGCAGTATCTTCACAAAATGCAGCATGATAAATATTTAATGAATAACATAAGGTAAACGTTGGTAGCGAATATCTTGAACTGACATTCAGAAAAGGAATTTATAATTATCAAAATTTTTGTTTCGTGTTTTTTATTTTGGCGCGAAATTTAAACTCCGAAACAAATTAGGTCAAAGTTGTACGTTTTGCATACTATCGATGAGTTTAGCTTTTATATGTCAAGGTAGACTTGTGATAAGTATATGCTGTTATTATGAAGAAACAATCTCCAATAGTATTGAAGCTATTTGGAAAAGAATTCTGACTAATTTATTTCCGGCACGCCCACTTTGTCATGACGCGCCATACATTTGTTTTGAAGTTTCTAAAAAGTTTCAAAAAGTCGACAGACCGTCAAATATCGCATCGGAAAGTAATTATATAATCAGGAAATTGATATTTCTTATTCATTTATTTCAAAGGATATTATGCCTATCGTTTGACGAAATTTCATTTCAAATGAGCCACGTTCGGCCCGGATATTAGGATTTTTCCCAAATTTTGATGAAATATTCAGCGACTACGGATATATCCGTAGTTGGGTGGTAAGCATGTGACGTCAAAACTACGGATATATCCGTAGTTGGGTGGTAATGGGTTAAAAGGTTTATTTTTTGAAACAGACACTGTCATAGTTATTAAAAGTGAGTTAACTGACTGATAGATTCAGAATTCAATGATTGCCAAACTTAAAATATAATTCATCATTGCCTATTTAAAGAACATTAGCCCCCACTACATGAAGTACAAATGTATATAACCTTACAGGCAATATAGGTAAAAGTTCATTTTCAATGAGTTTCACTGCATAACAGTTTTTTGTAAGAAACCTCCTATCTTGATTTCAAATAGAAGTTTGGTTTGATTCCTCCATGGGCTAGTTCCCAGACTTTTCTTTTCTGATTTAAACCAAAATATATATTTAAGTGTTATGAGAAATGTTCCATTTCCAAGTACGTTGCTATTTTTGAGTTCCACATGTAGTCTTGACCTAAAACAGCAGAAAACACTGAAACATTTATTTGTAATCACAGAGATAAGAAATCTTGGGCTGAACTTGGATCTGTGGTTACCATCTGTCCACACACTTGACTCATTCCTTCACAATTCCTCAATTCTCATATACAAGAAAACCTGTCTAATGTGAACAGCAATGAGACCGGATAGAAGTGTTTAGATTGGCAGTTGTTCATATTTCAAAGTTATTTATAACATGGAATTCTATTGCAGATTAAAATGGATGAAAAAGTGTTCACATTGAGAGTTATTCAGATAAGAGAGATGTTCGGATAAGAGAGGTGTTTGCATATAGGTTTTACTGTATTAGGAAATTCTGGTGGTCTGGGACTGTTGTCTTGAACTTACTTTGCTTATTTCATGCTGTTTTGCTATGAAATATGAAAAAATTGTCTGATTTTCTGTAATTTAGTGTTGACTACTTTCTTGTGTTGATGTTCAATTATACCTTGATTCATACATGTATTTGTAGTTTTACATTTGAAACATGACACCTTTGTTAATGGGTTCATTGACACCATTCAGGATATGGAGGAAATGAACAATCTTGTAAATAAGATAAGGAGTTATACCAGAACTGTGGTTCACAATTTGAAATTGAATTCGAAAGACAGGGAATACAAGTTCACTTTTTCAGTTTTTGCTCATTGCTCAGCTTAGACTGTCATGCTCTCTTGTCTTATCTCAGAAGGAGGATGTAATCTCAACTTTCAAAACATTTGAGAATGCCCTGTGGATATATATGTACATTTGCCTTTTTTATGTAGGGTTCATCTTTCACAATGTTGTACTTTTTCTTTTTTCTTTGTGGTTCCTTCTCATGATTCATGAACCAACTTTGGGGGTATTTTGTAATATTTCTTTCTAGTATAACTACAAGACTATTTTTACTGAGTACTTAAGAGTTTTATAAGTTCAACATGACTTGGAAGTAAAAGGCTCACCCTAAGGCTTAATCATATTCACAAAAGTTCTTTATTAAATATGTGAAATTCGTTTGGTTCGAAAATATGAATTTCTCAATGGTTTTGACCTGTATTGAGGTGACAAGGAAGTGAAATATACATATCTAATATATCATATGTCTTCTCTCAACAAGTCTTGAATCAAAACTATTAAAATAAATCATAAAAATGCATGGAATCATTTCCATCTAATCAAGTAGGTTGATTAATGTACATATGTATAACTCTCTCAGTTATTACAATTATGTTGATAACAAACTTTGGGTGAAAGTTGTACATTGATTCTTGGCATTATGCTAGTGAAATATCACCCCAGTGACCTTCATGTCAAAAAACAACATGGCAGTAAATGTTATTGTGATATATGAGTTCCATGAACAGTACACAATTAAACCTTAGTAAACGTTAGTAAATCAACACATTGCCAGATTTTGGATCACATTGTCAGCCTATGGACTTGTGAGGATTTCAAATCACCCATTTATTCTTTTGTAAACTAAGGATCTTTTGCCTCACTTTTAAAGAGGCAAAAGAATCAGGACAAATTAGAGTGAGGTTCTGAGCCTTGTTCTAACAAGAACAACCTGAAGAGTAATTATTCTCTGACAGTTTACATGAATTATTAATTCCATTGACCAAAATATCATAGAATGATATTAGTGATGGATCCTTTAAATTTTGTGCTGCTTTCACCCTTGGTATACGCAGCTAACGAAAATTGACCGGTACGGGTCAAAAGCTGGACCGGTACGGGTTAACGGTTTTATTTAAATTTAAAACAGCCATAACTTGCTCAATATTGACTTCCTCGTGTCCAGCTTTTGACCCGTACCGGTCAATTTTCGTTAGCTGCGTATACCAAGGGTGGCTTTTGTACATTTTTACAGAGCAGAATTGATTTTTCCATTACCTTCTAAGTACATGCATCACCTGACTTGTATCCATAATACCAGTCGTTTTTTGCATCAAACCCATCTCATCCCCCTCCCATTATCAAAAGAACACATGATGTAAGACCACAGCTGAGAGGTGTTTATTTACCACGACAGTTTCACTGTATATACATTTTTAGTATATGATTTATGTGTGAAGTATGTATGCTTAGTGTTAAACTTGTATTTTCAACTGTACTTTAGCTTGATGTTTAGTGTCAAATTTAGTGTTATTGATGTTGGTAGATATATAGATACTACATGTATTTGTCTCTAGGGACAGTCATAATTTGGACCTCTGTCTTTTGAACACCTCCGTCATTGAGCCCCTATATCATTTGGACACCCTTGTCAGTCAAACTCCTCTTTCATAAGAACAACTTTATCATTTGAACACCTCAACTCTGTCGTTAGATCGATCGCCTCTGCCATTTGAGCCCCTGTCATTTGAACAACTTCATTTGA